CACCTGAAGCTATTTTTTCCAATGCTTTTCAGAGAGTGGAGAGAGTGGAAAGGAGAGAGAGAGAGAGAGGAACATGGATGCGAGAGAGACACATCGACTGGTTGCCTCCCACACCCACCCCACCTGGGGCTGGGGATCAAGCCTGCAACCAAGGTACGTACCCTTGGCTAGAAGTGAACCTGGGGCCCTTCAGTCCTCAGGCTGATGCTCTAACTACTGAGCAAACAGGCTAGGGCCCAGAGTGTGTTTTCTAAGTTAAATTTATTGGGGTGACATTGGTTAATAAGATATTGGTTTCACGTGTACGATTATATGATACATCATTGCTCTGTATATTGCATCATGCACTGTATATTGCATTGTGTGCCCACCACCCAAAGTCAAATCTTAGGGCACCCTATATATGACCCTTTCACTATCCCCGCACTCCCAGAACGTTTTACATGATCTGCAAGGTCACATAGCTACTAAACAGCAGGACTGTCAATTGTCTGTGACTCAGATCTCAAGCTTGAAGTGACACTGTGTGTTTAACATGATGTTTTATTTGCTGATGAAAAATGTGGAAGAAAAAGAGGTAACACATAAATGGACCTCTTTAGATGGGATTAGTTAACTTGAATTGGGGGTGTAGTTTGCTGGAAGAGGGCCCTAAACTAAAACGACATGCTATGAAATCACAAATCAAATGAACAAATAGGGCCTGAAATTAGGTAAATCCAGGAGGCTATGCTGACCAGAGAACAAAACCTAAAATTTCTCTTCGTGGCCTTAATCAAGTCTTTAAAACAACAACTTAATTTTTTTTTTTAATAAAATTGTGATAGGCAGTGAGACAGGCATGAGCAGAGCAAGGATGATGGGCCAAGTACAGGAGGACAGGAGGTCACCAGGATGAAAAGCCCTGGATGCCTAGCAACGACAACTGTAGGGTAGGACCTCGCCCGCAGGGTGGCCTTTCCTCCCCTAGCATATCACTGGTCATGTGGTTTGGATCCCCTGACCTTTCCTCCCTAGAGATGACATCTAGGCCTCACTTGTATTTCAGCTCCATGCCCAGAAAAGCAACAAAACCAGCCAAGGCTGATCCCAGGACCAGCCACATTGGATAAGGACCCCCTGCCCTGGAGCCGACCAATCAATCCGTGGAGACCACAACTCTGACAGGACACACCTGGAAAGCTGCTGAATATTCTATTGAGATCTTCCCCTGGGACCGCCCCTGAAATCTCCACCCTTAAAACCCTTAGGACAGAGGACCCAGTGAGCTCTCCCTCCTGGGAGCATGCCGGTGCCCTCCCCTTCCCCTCCCCCTACCTCAGGCACAATACCATTAGCTTCCTCACTCCCAAGCTCCAGGTCCCTTCCTTTCCCAGTGCCCTTCCTTTGCCTCTATAACTTGTTTCCTAAGCCCATTTCTTGTAGGAATTACTTTTTCTACCTCTGTGATTAATGAAATAAATGTTCTCTTATAGTTTGGGTCTTGGCTCTGAATTCTTTCCTAGCCAGAACCCAAGTACCGAGGTTGCTGAACCCAAGTCCGATCTGACCCCACCGGACTAACACCCAGTGCCATTCATGCCGCCTACAACAAAATGACCCACGTTCATAATACGAAATTCAAAAGATATAACATGAAAAGTCACTCTCCCTCCTCTGACCCCCCAGCCAGCTTGACCACCATAAAGTATATCCAGAAGATTTTGATTCAACCTAAACCGTGAGGGTTTTAGGGGTTAGAGGGGGATGCTCTTTACATGGTAGGATTTGAGAAGTGGGGAAAGATGCAAAGCTCTGTCTAAAATAGATCTGCACTAGTCTGGCACCACCTTCCCCTTGGGCCTCACAGGAAATTCCTCCCAGTGAGGATAATCCTTACAGTAAGCAAAGGTGGGAACATTATTTCCAGAACTACACAGGAAAAGGGTAACTGTCAAACTCAGTCATTTCTTACTCAGAGGCATATCTGTTCATCAACCTAATCGTTATTTTTTCCGGTGATTTTGTTCTCTCCGCTCTTCCTCACAACAAACAGCCTTCTGGGGAAGCTCTAAGGCAAATCTGATTTCAGGATTCGAAGTGTAATTCGCTTTCCCACGGCCCCACGTTGTCTGGAAGAGCCGGCTGGGCACAACAGGTTTCGCTAACGGGTGGAACGCGAGGGATTTACAGTCTCGAGGCTTTCTCCTCTCCCCAGTGCCCTGTTTCTGACTCTCAAGAGCATAATTTATGAAGACTCTTGGCCTTCGCTCCCTTCTGAAAGAAATGCAAAGAAAAAGGTGGGGAAGCTCTCTTCGGAGGCTACCAACTCTCCACCGCTAATCTGATCTTTAGGTTTACAATCTAAAGAGTCAAGGGGGCAGAGCTTACACCTGTTCTGTCTCTGCCTTTCCAACACGGAACTAAGGCTCGGCCCAACACTATTGCTCTTCAAAGATTCTGTCCTGTTTCTACCTGTTTCTGGCAAACTCCTCCAACAAGATCTGCCCAGGCAGTTAGCTTCACCTCTTAACTTGGTTTTGGTCTCTATTGAAATTGTAATTAGGAGCCATTATCTGCTCCTGAATGGGCAGATTCAAATGCCCCTTCTCAGTCTTTACTGGCTCCCAGAGTAGCCTACTGAATTTATTACTACAAACCACACCCTAAGGGATGGTTCCTTTACTTTTTTTTTTTAAGTAAAAAGAAAAAGATTAATTACATGAACACATAGCAACAATAATACGGTTCCAAATAAAAGGCAGAAAAAGTCATCCATAATGCCACTACCCCCAGAAAGATAAAGATTTATATAATTCATCTTGTAAAATGTTATGCAACTTTTGAAAACAATGAGATAAATCTATAGGTATGGGGAAAAAACCCATAGTAATTACAAAGCCAGTAGCATGATGCGTAATAATCATCATGCAATACTATCTGTGTATTTTTATAGCTGTACATTATGCTGGGATATGTGTGCAAATTTTCTGGAAGGACACACAAGACACGGTCAATAGTGGTTGCTTCTAGACTCTAGAAAATGAGAATAGCTGATAGGAGAAAGGACTTGACTTTTCTGAATTGACTGATTTGCTAACCATGCGAGTGTATTTAATTTAAAAAATACAAACACTTAATACAAAAGTTGTGCTTATGCACATTCTCTGGATTAATAAAATTTTTAATTAAATGTCTATACATGTAACATGTAAAGTTCATTAACTATATTAATATTCAAAAAAGTTTTATTGCATGTGAAAAGTATTTGAAGATTAGATTTTATTTCATTCTACATAAATTCACAAGATTGTATGAACATTTTTATTATTTTTAAAATTTTATTATTATTATTTTAATCCTCACCCAAAGACATACTTAGAGAAGGGCGGGGGAGAGAGATCAATTGGTTGCCTTCTGTGTGCACCAACTGGGGATCAAACCCGAAACCCAGGCCTGTGCCCTGACCCGGAACTGAACCCCCAGACTTTTTGGTGTACAGGACAACACCCCAGCCAACTGAGCCACCCAGCCAGGGCTGTATGATAATTGTTTAAAATTGATTTTATAGAGAGAGGAAGGAAGAGGGAGAGAGAGAAACATCAATGTGAGAGAGAAACAGAGATCGGTTGCCTCCCATACACACTCCAACCGGGGACCAAACCCGCAACCTGGGTATGTGCCCTGACCAGGAATTGAACTGGCCACGTTTTGGGGCACAGAGCGAAGCTCAACCAGGACAGCCACACCCACCAGGGCTTGTATGATAATTTTTGACAAATGATAACCAAGCATAATTTTAACATTGTTTACTCATAGCTTAATCATTTCCAAAAAAAAATTATACTAAATTCTGTCAAAATTTTATAACAAATTTTGATATTTGCTTTGGGATATGATTGTATCTTTTAACATGCGTATGTGATACTACCTAGACTCTCAAACGGTAACAATGCCTAGAGCAGAAGAGGCTCTTCAGGTGGGCTTGGGGAGCATAAACTCCAAACTATATAAAAAATAAATGTGTCTCTCAGTCTGCCTATGATACTGGATAAATGGCTATCTGATATGAATAAGGAATGATGAGCTCGTTATGAGGGGAAATTGTTGACAGGAATTCACTACCCCTTTCTGATTAGACAAAGTCTATGCCTTGCTTTTCCCTGCCTCTAGCTACCTGCTCTCACTGCTGCCCTCCCTCCTTACCTTGGCTTTGAAGCCCAGGCCATCCTTCAGCGGTCTGCTGATGGACCCTGTAAGATGCGCTTTTCTTTCCATCTGCTTCACCAAGAGAAATACTTTTTGAAAAGGTGAATTTGATGGTGAAATATATCTCAATAAAAAAAAAAAGAAGATAATTTTCATTTTGGAAGAACAAACAGGTAGGACATTTTTAACAGGACAGAGGTGTGAGATAATGGGATGTCCTGCCTCTTTGAACGAGTCAAGACTTCTAGTCGTAAATACTAAAAGACAGTGAAAGAAATCACCAGTGTGATTGCAAACCACAAATGGAAACATGAACATTATCGACAGCAGGAAAAGCATAAGAAGGTGAAATGTATTGATTTTTCTAGTGTGAAAAAGGACTTCTTTTAAAGAGAGAGGACTGATCAAACCTGCTTAGTTTGAAGTAGTTGCCTATCTAGAGAGTAAGACTGGGGAGTAGAGTTATTTTTTCTCATTATAAATATTCAGTACTACTTTAAAATTTTATCCATATAATACAATAACTAAATTTTACCCCCAAAATGTTTTTCATATAGTAAAAAAAAAAAAAAAAAAAAGACACTTTAAAAACTATGGTGTGAAAATCTTCAAAGATCCCNTAAAAAAAAAAAAAAAAAAAAAAAAAAAGACACTTTAAAAACTATGGTGTGAAAATCTTCAAAGATCCCTGGAAGATTTTGACATAGATTATTAAAAGATGTTTTATGAACATTTAAAGGAATTGAGGCTAGGTAGGCCAACATGAGTCTACCAAGGGCAAATTCATTAACAAATATTTATTGTGCACCTACCAGGTCCCAGTTTCTGTGCAAGGTACTGGGGATGAAGCAGAAACCAAAACAGGCTCGTTCCTGCCCCTTGTGGAACTTGAATGAGGAAGACAGATAACAACACAAATTACAGTGTTATTACAACTTGTGATAAGAGCTATGAAAGAAATTACAGGGGCCCTGGCTGGATACTCAGTTGGCTAGAGCATCGTCCCGTACACCAAAAGGTTGTGGGTTCAATTCCGGTCGGGCACATACCTAGGTTGCAGGTTCAATCCCTGATCAGGGCCCATAAAGGAGGCAACCAATCAGTTTCTCTCTCACATTGATGTTCCTCTCTCTCTCCCCCTCCCTCTCTCCCTTTCTCTCTAAAATCAATAAAAAAGTCGTCTGCCTCCCTCTTCATTACTCCCTATGGTGCTGCCCTTTTCATTTTCCTTATACACTTAAGTAAAATTATCTAAATCATTTTTTTGTTTACCGTGTCTTATCAACTAGAATGTAAATTCCAGATGAGGGTGTGGATCTGATCTGTTTTGTTCACTGCTCTATACCCAGGCTGTACCTGGAACATAGTAGACCTCCCGTAAATATTTGTTATATTTGACTTGGATGAAGTGTGGAAATGTATGTTAAACGCTACTACAGATAGCTATAGTTTTAGCTAATTGAGTAACTTGCCCAAATAATATTTATTAATGTATTAAGGTTAACCTGCAGGGAGATCTCTGGTTGGTTGACACAAATCTGTCAGGTCTTGTCAAATGGGTAAAAGTCAGTGATTTGTATGGAAGGAAATGGTGCGATCATCAAAATGCCTGATGACACAAAGTTGGGAATATTGGTCGCTAATATATTGGGTCACAGGTTTCGGGTTCCAAAGGACCTGAAAGTCTACCAAAAATAGAATGAATAATTAGTTGTGGTATATTATTCATAAAATGAACTACTGTGCAGCAATAAAAATGAGTGAACTACTGCTACGTGCAACATTGAGGGAAATAAACCAGACACACAAAAAAGAGTACATATTGTATGATTCTATTTCTGTGTATTTCAAAACCAGACAAGACTATTCTGCGGTTCTCTTGAAGAAGGAAAAAGGGGCAATGATTGTGAGGGGCCGTGAGGAGGCTTTTGAGGTGCTGGTAAAGTCTATTTCTCATCCTGGGTGGTGGTGGCATGGATGTGTTCATTTTACAGGAATTCATTGATCTGTGTACTTGTGATTTGGGCACACTTTTACATGTGTTATACATCAATTTTAAGTTAAGAGTAAAAAAGACCTGGGAGATGTATTTAATTAACAGCTCAATGTGTAGTTCCTGATTTTGAATTAAAGTTTACTATTTTGCCAGTTAGGATAAGAATTGTTGTTGATTCTCAGTAAATAATCTTTATTATATTTAAGTAGTTTCCTTGGATTGCTTGTTTCATGTGGATTTAATTAGAATGGCTGCTAAATACACTGTAATATCTACTGCTGTAGGGACGTGGGGTAAAGGGTATTTTAATGTGCTGTGATTGATATATAAAATGGGAAGCAATCTGGCCACAGCTATTATTTTAAAATTATTTATACTCCTTGACCCAGCAATCTCAGTTCTTGGAATCTATTTTGTTAAAATAAAACCACTAGTTTCAAGAAAACTATTGAAATAAAAACACTGTGAAACATCTGTACAAGGATATTTATTAGAGCAGCGTTTTAAGTGGCAACACACACATCAATTGCAAATACTATGCATGCCCATCAGTAGGGGAATGGCTGCAAAAATTAGGTTCCACATTTGGAACATCCATTAAGAGGAACGAATTTGTACTCTACCAGCTGATCTAGAGAGATTTTACACAAGAAACTGTTTTAATTAAAAGAGGCAAAAATGCAGTTACTTTTTAAATGACAAAAATATCTATATTGAATATGCATGCATTTGTTATTTGTCTATATGTGATTATATGAGCATGGAGGGAAATGTTAACAGCTAGGGTGATACAGCGAGCTAGAGGTGCGAGAGCTGATGGGGTGACGGCAGGGGGGGAGAAGAGGGAGTGTGTCAAGGGGGAAAATAAAAATAAAGTAAGAACCACAGGATTTTCTGAAAGCTCTATGAGTCAGTAATCTCACATTACAGGTGAAAAATCAGGCACAGTCCTAGGGCCATTATTAGATTGAACTGTGTCCAGACCAAAGGACGTAATAACTGCAGTGTACTCTATGCTGTTCAGCTCAACCCTAGCACATCGTATCAGGTTCAGGACACCACACTAAAAATAAAACAAAAAGAAATACACTGCTTTTCTTGTTCTAAGAGGGATGGTTAAGAATCAGGCAAAGCTGAGTTCCAATTTCTTTTCAGCCACTTACTGAGCTGTGCGCCCTTGGCAGGTTACTTAATCCCTCTTGTTTCTTTATCTGTACAAGGAGGATAATTGTAGTTCCTATTTCTCGGAGTTATTGTAGGAAAATTATATATGCATGCCAGGACTGGCATCTGGAATAAACTCAATAAAAAGCAGTAATGTTGCCCAGCCTNTATATGCATGCCAGGACTGGCATCTGGAATAAACTCAATAAAAAGCAGTAATGTTGCCCGGCCTGCGTGGCTCAGCCATTGAGCATCAACCTAGGATCCAGGAGATGGAGGTTCGATTCCCGGTCAGGGCACATGCCCGGGTTGCGGGCTCCATCCCCAGTAGGGGCCGTGCAGGAGGCATGTTTCCATCTCTCTCTCTCCCTCTCCCTTCCTCTCTCTGAAATCAATAAAGCTATATTTTAAAAATTTAAGAAAAAGAAGTAATGTTGTCATAAAGAAATATTGTGAAATTAGAATTTACACATAAGGAAATAAAAACATAACCATAATCTTACCTTCCAGAGTTAACTGTGGTTAACTTTTAAATGTTCGTGCATTTACTCAATGTGATCTGAAAAATCATTACAAGACCTGGTGATAGCTTAACTGGGACACGTTAGCAGCCACCAAATGTGAGAAGGGTTGCGATATGGCAGAGGCTCGGGCTCTCTGAGGCCCCAGAGACGCGCAGTGAGAGGCAAGGGCTGCAGCGAGAGCTGTCCAGCGCCGAAGCGCGCTCCCCGTGCCATGGGGAGCTCCGGTGATGACAAATAACAGCCTCCGCTGGCGACCACTTGTCAGAACTGCCTGCCTGGGAAGAGAGGTCAATCGAAATGTCTTCTAAAGCCCTTCCTAACTCTAACATTTTATAATCGAGAAACACTTGCTGGGTGTGCACATATATTAGATTCGCAGTCCTCATAAGCCCGTTGGTGTGGTTCTTACTATGACACGGGGTGAGGACAGTTCTAAGTTCATCGCATGAAAGTCAATAGGAAATTCCTAGCACAGGTCAGATAGAGGGCCTCTCCCCCATACCGAGCCCGTGCAATTCCACCAATTAATCTCATTCAATAGGGAGAGAGAAATCAAAGAGAGGGGTGGGCCTGAAAAGAGTTTACGTCTTATCTCCAGGTGCTGTTTGTCTGCTTTCTTAATACTCGTGGTCTCTTCCTGGGAAAAATTCTTGATCTGGCCAAAATTCATAGTAATTACTCAGGGCAAAGGAAAAAGAACAAACAAAAAATACATTAATGTGGTTGGAAAAGAACCTAAGAACATGGTGTTGGTGGGAGGCTAAAAGTCAATGTAAGAGCCACCCAGGTGCTTTTGATGTCTGATCAATTATTATCCTATTGTGCTTCCTGCTGTAGATGCAGCTGCAATTTCGGTAACAGGATGTTTAAAAAGATTAAAGAAAAGCTGCAGTAGGGGTCTGAAGTGATAACAGTCTGCAGAATATGTATTTTTGGACGTTTAGAATATAAGTTCCTGTACATTCTTAAAATAAACCATCTATTTGTTTTCCTTTTTTTTTAAAGAAACAAGTAAAATTTGTATTTCAATATGACTGCTTCCTGCCCACAATGATGTAGGAGTAACAGAGCAAAGAGAGGGTGGTGGTGGGTCGACCTGGACCCGTGCAGAGTTGTAATCAGCTTTGACTCTTATCCCGGTATTAGGTAATCTTACCCCTATATTAGAAAAATGTACAGAATTTATCTGGATTAAACCTGTTTGTCAGAAAATGGATTATTCTATTGTTTAAACAGAGAGTTGGGTGGAATTTGTGATGGCAATGACTCAATGTGACACTAAAGAAACAATTTGGGTGTGCTCTCCCTCCAGGAGCAAGCCCGAGCCTTCCCCTTCCCCCACTCCTTTCCCCACAGGCCTGCATCTCCTAAACTCTAAGGGACCCCACAAGACTTGCCACCCCTCGAGCAATGGGCAGCAGCAACTCATCCCGGGCTACTCCCCTGAACCTGTCTCCAAAGCCCCCTTTTCTCTGGCTTCCCAGTGAGCCAGAGCAGCCCTGCGTAGGCCCATTTCTTTCCTACGACATTTCTAGAAAGCCAAAGCTACCCTAGGCTCTCTCCCGTTGCTTCTTCTATCCTAAGCCCTTTCTTGTTTCACTGTCTCCAGCTTTAATAAACATGCTCTCAAAAAAAAAAAAAACACAATTTTTTTTGTTGTTGAGGAGTTTGTGGAATTGAAGTTGGGATGGGCTGAACTGATTTAGGAGAGTGTTCTCAAACAGGGAATGACTCACTGGTATTCAAGACTTCCTGCCCTGTGGGCTGCTTATCTTGACTTACACCATAAATTTGCACTGGGTATCCAATCATAGGGTTTTAGGCATATTCTCAGAACTTCTGACATCAGTTGTGAATAAACCCCTTGCTAATTTCACTTATTTTTTTTCTAGCATCTAGGCCAATACCTAGTGTGTGCCTGTACACGCTCTCTCTTTAAAGACTCTCTCTGTGTATGTATATGTTTATTCTCTTTGAGAGTGAGTTACAGACATGATGCCCTTTTCCCTAACTTCAGTGTGTACTTCCTAAAAACAAGGGCAATTCTCTTTCATAACCACAGTACAATTACGAAAACTATGTGAGAACTGATACAATAATATTACCTAATCCACAGACCTCATTCAAATTTTGCAATTTCCCCAACAGTGTCCCTTATAGTAAAAGAAAATTCCTGATCATACCTTGCGTTCAGTTGTCAAGTACCTTTATTTTAGTCTCCATTAGCCTGGAATACATTTTCCACACTCTGTCACCTCTTGTGACCTTGGCATATTTGAAGAGTTACAGGCCAATTGTTTTATAGAGTGTTTGTCAGCTTAGGTTGTCTGATATTTCCTCACGATTAGATTCAGGTTATGCATTCTTAGCAGGAATACTGCAGACGTGACCGTGTAATCTTCTCAGCATACACTATCAGTTGATTTGTTTCATTACTGTTGAAATTACCTTTAATGACTTGGTTCAGATAGTGTCCGTCAGGTTTCTGCACTTTAAAATTACTATTTTGGGGGGAGCATTTGAGATCTTGCTTCCCAGAATATGTCATCAGTTTGGTTCAAGTAAACTCTTAAAAAAATTTTTAATGAAATTATCATCTTTCCCTTTTTGTTACCAAGTAGCTTGTGGGGAGACATGCTGGGACTACGCAATCGCCCTGTTCCTCATCGAACCCCACCCACTAGCTTTAGCAACCATTGATGATTCTTGCCTGAGTCCTTTATTACTGTGATTGCCAAATGGTGATTTTGTAATTCTATCATCCCTTCTATATTTTGTTGTTGGCATTCTACTGTAAGGACAAATGTTCTCTTCTCCATGACCTGTTTGGCTGTTTATTTATACCAGTATGGACTCCTAGATTCCTATTTTATTCAATGGGTCATAATAATATGTTGTTGACACTATTTATTATGGTGCTCAAATTGTCCCATCATATTTGTCATTCTCTTATTAATTTTTTTAATCCTCTCTGAAGATACCGTTTTATTGACTTTAGAGAGAGAGGAAGGGAGAGAGAGAGAACCATCGATGTGAGAAACATTGATCGGTTGCCTTCCTTACACACCCAGACAGGGTACCTGGGTATGTGCCCTGACGGAGAATCGAACCTGCAGCCTTACCATGTATGAAACGCTTCAACCAGCTGAGCCACACTGGCCAAGGCTTGTTATGCTTTTTTTAAAATATATCTTTACTGATTTCAGAGAGAGGAAGGGAGAGGGACAGAGAGAAAGAAACATCAATGATGAGAGAGTCATTGATCGCTGCCTCTTGCACATCCCCGACTGGGGATGGAGCCCGCAAACCCGGGCATGTGCCCTGCCCGGGAATCTAACCTCAATCTCCTCCATCCTAGGTCGATGCTCTACCTCTGAGCCACGCCTGGCCGGGTTTGTTACACTCTTATCTGTATTAACAGTTTAATTCAGGAGCTCTAGAAGACTGGACCACTGAAGCTGCCCAGAAATAAAAGGACTACAATCCCATCCCAAGTATCTCATCCAAGGTAAAGAACTCCCCCCTGATTTTCCTGGCTGGTGGAGACAGGAGACACAAGAAAGCCTAGAGAGCTCTCTGTGTGAAGACTGCCCTGGGCCACATTTGATCACAATGATGCCACTGTCTCACAAGCCTCTTAGGATACCATCATCAGGGTGTGGATGTTAAGCTGTTTTTCCAACAGTGCTAATAGCTCCGTAATCTATCATTCCCTGATTTCTCTAGTTTCTAACTGCCCAACCCTGAAGGAGGACTGCCAGATTAGCAAAGTAGTCTGTGGCTATGAGCCTGAAGGGTATTAACTAATTTGTGCACAGAATAAACCCAAGAGTTAAAGACCTTGATGTCATTATACCCTTCCCAATCTATTGAGTTAAGTAGTCACAGACTCGTTACAAGCGAACATCTTATTACTACATTGGTGCTTAATAACATGCAATTACTTTACTGGAGTTGAGATAAAATCTGATTACATGAAATATGTACATTGCAAGACAGGTAATTCTGAATTAAAGCCAGAGTATATTAAATCTTCAGCATTACACACATTAACAACAGGCTCTCTACTGTGGTTACTGAAATTGTTTCCTTAACTAGAATGTAGGCTTCATGAGCGCTGGGAGTTTTATTTTATCACTCCATTTCCTGTATGGGTATGCCTGCCTCATAATAGGGGTTCAAAAAAAATTGGGGAGTACTTACCTGGCAGAGGAGATACATGGTCACAAAGGTGGTTTTCCCAGGGCGAGGTTTATCCATTGCCCTCCGGATGTGCTGACCCCTGCAATTTCCTCTCATGTGAGAAACTCAACTGCATAATTTGTGGTAGTGGAGGTCTGCATTCGTGCTCTCCCCTGAAAAAAATTTGTTGAGCATATCAAAATGTTTGGTGGCATAATAGGAGAAAATTAAAAGTTATTAAATGAACCCTGGCCAGGGAACTCAGTTGGTTAGTATTATCCTATGACACCAAGGTTTCGGGTTCAGTCCCACATCAAAGTGACACAAGAACTATTTACATAGCCAACAGGTTTCCTCAGAATGGCCTTTACACACCTCAGAAACTTACAGATAACTGGACCATCTCATCTAAGTATACTGTGTGGAATTTTATTCCAAAGAACTTATTTGAACAATTCGGAAGAGTGGCAAACTTTTATTTTCTTATATTTTTGGTTCAGCTTATGATTGATACACCCACCAGTCCAATTACCAGTGGACTTCCATGATTCTTTGTGATAACAGTAACTGCCATAAGCAGGGATATGAAGATTGGTTACGACATAACTCAAATGATGAAGTAAATGGAGCTCCTGTTTATGTTGTTCGAAGTGGTGGCCTTGTAAAAACTAGATCAAAAAACATTCGGGTGGGTGATTTTGTTCTGTAGCCAAAGATGAAAGTTTCCCTGCAGATTTGGTGCTTCTGTCCCCAGATCAGCTTGAGGTTNAAACTAGATCAAAAAACATTCGGGTGGGTGATTTTGTTCTGTAGCCAAAGATGAAAGTTTCCCTGCAGATTTGGTGCTTCTGTCCCCAGATCAGCTTGTCACATTACAACTGCTAGTTTGGATGGAGAAAGACACATGCAGCGGTTCCAGAAACAGCAGTATTACAAACACTTGCCAATTTGGACACTCTTGTAGCTGTGACAGAATGTCCGCCACCAGAAGTAGACTTGTGCAGATTCGTGGGACGAATGATAATACTTCAACAAAGGGAAGAAATTGTAAGACCTCTGGGGCCAGAGAGTCTCTTGCTTTGTGGAGCCAGATTAAAAAACACAAAAGAAATTTTTGGTGTTGCTATGTACACCAGGATGGAAACAAAGATGGCATTAAATTACAAGAGCAAGTCACAGGAAGGTTCTGCAGTAGGAAAGGCCATGAATAGATCTCTGACAATTTAGCTAACAACACTTATTTCTGAAGCCATCATCAGTACTGCCGTTCTTTGTATTTTTTTATTTTTTTTTTAGTATTATCTTGAAATATACAGGACAAGTAGAAGAAAAATGGGATGAACTTTGGTATAACCAAAAAACAGAACATCAAAGAAATAGTAAAATTCTGAGTTTTGCTCTTTTGGTCATTTTTATTATATTAGACTAGTTACCCATGTACAGTATTTTTTAAGAATGTATGCTTTATCATACCCCAATTTTTATCAGTTCTACTCATGTGTTTTCTCAACAAGCACTGTATGGCAGTGTGTACCCGACTTAATACAATATTTGTTTTACTTCCCTACTCTTCTGATATATGATCTATGGAACGGCACAGAGACCCTCAGTATTACAGAGCAAGCCCACCCTCTATGGAGATATTAGTAAAAACCATCAACTAAGCATTAAAACGTTTCCTTATTGGACCCTCCTGGGTTTCAGTCATGGATTCTATTTTCTAATGGGGGAAGCTATCTCTCAGCTTGGAAATGGCGAGATGCTTCTGCACAACACGGAGCTAACACTGCGGGAAGATTATCCAAATGAGCATCAATCAAAGCGTGGACAAGACGTTTGCGGCTGTGTTTTGCTAGTTGTTGCATGGGCTGTGTGTGCTTTTCTCTGTGTGCCACAATGTTAAATTCAAATGTCCCAGTGTTTCCTGGACTCTTTTATGGACATGTCGGATACTAGGTTGTTGATATCTGGATTGCGATCTAAGGGAGCAGATGACGTGTCTAAGGAAACGTCTTGGAAGTCATCATATTTGAACTCCATTGGCCAAGTTGCAATAGAATGAACAGTAGCGGGTGAGTCTTGGTGATAAGATCTTGCACGGAGGCCACCTCCCATGCTTACATAGATGCCCCCTAATACATTCAGCAACAAACACATTGAGCAGCCGAGATCCATATGAAAGGAGTGACTGAAAGTCTATTTTCTCAGCCCTCATCTAGTTAACTGCTCAGTAACACCAGATTCTAAGTCAATCTCAGGAAAGTATACTGTATTTACTGAGCGTATTTTCAGTGCCACAGCTGGTAAAGCTGTTGAGAGAGCCTCTATGGTCTGCTTAAGCTGCTGGGATAATTGGCTTATGGCACTGCTTGCTCCTTCTTTAAAGCTCGAGGAAAGTATGCGCTATTGTGTACTTCCATAACGCATCCTCAACAGAAAGGTAGAAGTGATTTTATCCCCTCGAAGCAGTCATCTGTTGTAAGGACAGATGTCTGTCCGCACTGTCAGTCCACTGTAAGATTTTTAGTACTGTGGAGAAGTATACGTCAAGGTCCTGTGAATGGAGTCACTGATGTAACTAGAGATCCCGAAGTTCATCCAAGATTTGACAGTATCAGCAAATGCAAGGAAATGGTTATAAGTCATTAAACACTCTTGGTTGGTATAATGAGATTTTACCACAACCAAGGCCTGGATGAAACTCAGTCAAGCTCCCCAAGCCACAATCCAATGAAGTCTTTTGATTTTCTTTATAATTTCTTGCACACGAATACACTGCCCAATAACTGTCATACTGTCTAGACAACAGACAACTTTTGATTGCTGTGGTCCAATTTCTTTTAAGTCTATATCACATTGCTGTGCACTGGCTGTTATTGCCCATGTGCCTGCCGCTGCGGCAGCAACAGTATGCTGTGAGAGCGAGGTCTGAGAGTGGAAACGAGAGAAATATTCAGTAGTGCAACGCTGATGGAACCAGAGAGTTAATGTTGGTCACATATTGTAGAGCACGTTTATGGTGGTCAGGTTTAACTAGAGACTTGAGGCAAAACTCTACTTCAGTAGAGAGTATAGGAGACTTAAGAGTTTGATCAGTTCTACTGATCTGCTTGGTTGGAACTGATAGCTCCCCTGTTGCCACTGTCTTCATAGGTTGGGTGTCCCAGTGCTAACTCTTCACATTAATAGTAGCAGAGGGAGGACAAGAGAGAGTTATATGCATAGTCTCACAGCCAAATAAATCAACCTTGAGTAACTGAGGAACAATGGCTATGCTAGAATGGTTACCTTTTCTGTAACCTGTGCCACTTGTTCTTGGCTGATTCTTGTATGTGCCCTGACCGGTAATTGAACCCGCTTCGGGACGACGCTCTAACCAACTGAGCTACTGGCCATGGCCCACTTGGGTTTTCTTGACTGAATAAGTCAGACTGAGAGAATGAACTGCTGGAAGCAGCAAGAGACAGTTCCTAAAATGAGACCAACTAGAACCCCTGACTTCCTCCTACAGTTGGGGGGTGAGGGTAGGGCACTTAATTTTGCTAGCCTCCCTTCTGCAGTCTTCTGTGGGTTCACCAGGCTGAAATCACAGTGACATGAGAAATTTTAGAGTGGAATATGGACTTCGCTCTTGAAGCAGCAGTTCTATTGGCCATGAGTCTAAGTTTCTATTTAATGAAATTAAGTGGAAGTGTTGATGGACTTCCAGGAAGGCAGCTCAGAGCTCCAACCTATCAGGTTGCACTGTGAGTTGTGCAATTAGAACAAATTTCATGTTCAGTTAAAAAAAAAAAGTCTTTTCCTACATTGATTTCCTTAAGTTACTTCACCCATTCACCAAGTCCAACAGCCCTATGCCACCTTGTGTAGTGGGGGTGCAGAGAATTGGGGATGAAGCTATAAAGAGAAGTGTGATCCTCGATGGACCAGATGGTTGGTGAAGAGCATACGATGCAGCAGGGACGTGGGAAGAGCGTGTAATTTCCAACTAGGAGGGACAGAAACCATTAGGTCTCTCCTTTCTCCTCCGCTTACACCAAAGTTGGAGGTCAGGATAATTCCAGCTTACCCGTGATAAGCCCTGTTCTCTTGGTGTGCACTACCATCATCTAGACGGCGTGGCTTGTCATTACATTGGGAAGATGTCCTAAGGGCGGTGGAAGGAGACTCTTCTTCGACAGCCTTCCCTCAACCTAAACCAGCTTTGCACATTACTGTTAGCAGGGCTTATGAGGCTGTCGCTAAAATAATCCTATTTCACAACCTGAAAAATTTCTGAACTTCACATAGGCAAACTTACGCACATGTAATTACCTTCGTATTCTTGACATAGTGATTCATTGGGCTCATTAATAAAGGGTCAAGAACTATCACTAAAATGTTAAAAAGTAAGGTTTTAATCAGGGGATGGGTCAGACTGATTATCTTTCCTTTTTCAGTTCTGGGTGGTTTTTATAGTTAACTATAGTGGGATCAATACAGAGCCATGGGAGTTGAAAAGTTCCTGCTACTTTTTCTCTTGCTTTTTAATCATTAAATGAGTGTTGGCCAAATGATTCAGGAGGTTGTTTGCCAAGCGAAGACCAACCCTTCTGAAATTTGTTCCCAGCTTTTCCTAGACCTAGAAAAATGCCCAACTGCATAGTAAGTATCTTCTACAACTCTCCTCATATCAATGACCAGTTTGAAAACCATTCTGAGGTGAACCCAGCTGTGCCCATTCTCCCATGGAGGCGGCTGGTGAAGGGGGACTGAGGCCTCTGCTTTAAGAGTGAAGGCCATTGTGTGTCAATTACCCTTTAATTTTCAAAAACATTTACCACTTATTCTAGGTCCACAGAGCAGCCAGATTTATCCTTCTTAGTTTTTGTTTTATTTTTACGTTTTAATCCTCACCCAAGGATATTCCTTCCATTGCTTTTCAGCAAGAGTGGAAGGGAGGAAGGGAGGAAGGGAGGGAAGGAAGGGAAGAAGGAAGCAAAGGGAGGAAAAAAAATGTGAAAGTGGAGGGGAAAACCACTTGAAGAAAGTAAGGTTTATCAACATAATTACCAGG